AAGAGATGGGATGAAGAAAACAGAAATACCAGAATAAGGTAAGTGTGTCCAGGCAGCATTGCCAAGCTCAGCAGGTATGGTACAGAGCATACCTTCACTTCATCTGGCTTCAAATTGCTCCTTTTGCAGGCAATAAAATTACTGCAGAAATCCCAGGGAATAAACTGAGTTAACACCCCATTAAATACAACAGACTTCCAATCCAAGGTAAGGACGTGCCCAGATTAAGCTAGCCCTGTACAAACTGGCCCATGGGTAACATACATCACTGCTACTGACTTATGGTCTGAAAGAAAGAAAGAAAAGGAAAAGCTGAGATGAATTTCTACAAGGTAAGAAAAGATTTGTGCTTTGAAGCATGCTTAAACATCACAATGTATTCTTCCATAAACATTCTTTCTACAGCTGAATGCACACCCCAAGGGAGAAAGCCTGGAATTTGCAATTTTACATATTTTCTTTTATCAGTAATGTGATCTTGCCCCTCATCCCCCTCGCCCAGATTAAGCAGCTTTGATTTTTTCCCTTCAGTTTGTTTTGTCAGTATCTGGCTTGGAAACTGGTACCAGAGAGAAGAGCACTGTTGCTGGGTTGATTTGTTGCCCCCGTTTCTCAAAAGACAAGATAATTTAAAATACTTATTTCCATAATTTTTTAATACTTCAACTGCAGTACTTGTGAGCCCCTTCTAAGTCCACTGGATAGTGACATTCCAGTGACATTCATAAAAAAGACTTTATAAGAAAAATCTTTCTTGGCAGAGCCACCTAAGTCAATTTTAGCTGGTTTTAAGCTGAAAGAGCTCAGCACAAAGAAAGAGGGGAAGAGAGAAAAAGAAAGACATATAGAAAAGCATACAGATAAGGGCAACAGCATGAAGCCAGGAGTTATATTTTGATTGTCATGTATTTACTGACAGCCCTAGGTGCTGAAAAGGAGATAATTCTCTCCAGTCTGTGCTCCCACATCAATTCAGAGTGCAGTCTCATGAAACTGGGAGCCAAAATGCAAGCAGGATACCTCCAGAGAGGGGCTCCTGCTTCCCTTCCTCTCCTCTCTGATCCTCTTGCTCACTTCACAAAAACCTTAGTGCTTGCCAGACTTCTACAGTAGCTCAGCCAGTTCACAAACTACAGAAAACATTCTACAACCAAAAGCTGTGTAGGTTTTTATTATTTTGATGCACTAGTGAAGCTCAGGGCTGGACAGGTGTGCTCCTGGCTGGAGTAAGACCAGAGAAGCACCTCCCACTTTGCTGTACACCTGAGAGCTGGTGGGGCTGATCAAGGCTGAAGCTGTTGCAGCTTCCAGAACAAAAACCAGCTCTGCAAAGACACAGTACTGTGTAAATACCAACAGCTGCAAAGCTTCCATTCCATGGATTTGTGTATTCATAGCTCCTGCTAGCTCCAAGTCAGCCAGGCGGATTTTGCCAACACACAGAGACAGCTTTAGCCAACCAGAAATCTTTATCACAGCCACCCTTGCTGTCAGAATGATGACCTCAAAGACAAGCTAACTCAGGTCATGTTTTCTGTGCTGCTCTCCTTGTAACACAGGAATACTTGCTGAACCACTTTCACCCTGACCAGCTCTCAAAGAGAGGTAGGAAAAGAATAATGTATCTGCATGAAACAAAGATATCAATCTATTAAAAAAAACCAAAAAAACAGATAGCAAAATCCTGAGAAACTGCCATATGACTAGAACAAAAACAGGGAATTGACTTAAATTCTCACATGCAGAAGCTCTGGCTCTGGCCTTCACTGCCAGGCTTTCATCCCCTCATTCAGAGATACCAAGATGGATCATCAGAGGGCACTGCTCCCCCCAGGAGGAAATTGGTTAAGTGGATAGAGATTTCAGATATCTGGAAATGCACATTTACTGCATAACTGCGAAGTCCTGAAACGAGGGTGCAGCTGGAATTGCATTTTCACATTTGCTACTTTTCCTCCTCAAAAGCACTTCAAGAATGTATGGAATTTGCAGATCTGAATTCAAACTTACTGAGGCTGAAAACTCAACCATTTCTGTACTGGCAGTAAGTAAACATTAACCTCAAGAATAAAGGCAAGTTCCATTCTTGCATCCTCTTCTTCTGTCCTTATCCTACCACAGCCCTTCACAGATTTTTAATGGTTTGAAGATAGAAGGCAATTCTTGCCATCTTCATCACAAAAGAAAAAAAAAAACCTGTAAACAGAATTTGTCTCTGTGCATTTACATATGCCTGAGCCACTCATTATTAATGCCAGTAAGCAAAAAGAAATTTAACCCCTTCCTCCTGCACATCAGGTTCATACACATGCTTAAAAGCCACATAGCACTGCACAGCAATTACTCCTACAGGAGCAGATGCTTTGCTTGGGTAAAAGTGATTTAAGAGAACTGAGATCACTGGATGGCCATGTCAACACTCTGCACAAGCAGCTGTTAAACACAAGGAATGCAGCCTGTGTTTAGCTGCATGTACAACATTCATCCTAAAAGCACTGCAGTCCTTTCTGGGAAAGGTTTTAGATTAATTTTCCAGAGTTTTCACTCTCCTGGACTCAGCCATCCTGCTGGCCTGCACTTTTGATAAATTTCCTGCTCATCTGCTAATCCCCAGTCCAAACAGTTTACTTCTCTTCCTTCAATATTCAAGACATAAAACCAACATAGGCAGGAATTTGAAGTGTTATTGAGAAAAAAGGAACTTCCTCTGAGAAGAATCAAAATACTGATACAGTTGTTAACTCCCACTTTGAAGGGAGAGGGGTTGAAACAGTGTTTGTAGGCCTTGAATTTCAGCTGGGGATTTCTTTGCAAGTGTCTTGGGCTTAAGCAGTATTTCAAATAAATTAGATGAGGGAATTGTCTCTTGATTAACACTAGAACAGATTTAATAAAACTAGAACTGCTGATATGAGATAGAAAGAGAAATCCCACAGGGCTATTGTTTCAAAACAAAAACTAGAACTCTCTCTCTGATTTCCAACAAGCCAGGCAGGTAGGTATTCAATGGATGTAACATTGTTCCACTCAATTCAAGGAAACCAGATGGTATCTAGCAGCCCAGGATTTGGACAGGTAGAACTCTTTTTCATTAAGGTTTTAGAATCCAAATTTATAAACAAAAAGATCACATGGACTTCAGTGCACAGACATGTTTCTTGGGAAAAGTGAGAATGACTTTTGCCTTCCAGAGCATTCATGACCATTCAGTAAACAGAATATTTAACAGCTTTAGGAGAGGAGCCATTTCATCAATAGGAATAGACACTTACCTTACATCTTAGAATAATTTGCATTTTTACATTTTCAGACACACAAACCATTAGTGTCTGCACAGCAAATAGCAAAAAAACCCCCAAACCTCCACAGCATAAGAATTATAGGTTAATTAATAAAACTCATAAATCAGTTAGTATAAACACTATGCTTTGTATTACATAATGGATATGGATACTTCACCACACACCAAAATGGTACAGTTCATACAAAATCCAAAAACCCCAAACCTCCACAGCATATGAATTATAGGTTAATTAATAAAACTCATAAATCAGTTAGTATAAACACTATGCTTTGTATTACATAATGGATATGGATACTTCACCACACACCAAAATGGTACAGTTCATACAAAATCCAGAAATTTTGCAATTAAAATAGCAAATCATGAATAGATTTTTTTAAAAGTTAATGTGTTAAAAAACCTCAATACTATCAGCAATGAAGGAGAAAGAAGCAGCAAAACTCCGGATGGTTCCCAAGCAGAAAGATGCTATAGTAAAAGCCAAGGAGAGGCATCAATGCACTCACGACTCTGAAGGATTCAAGTGAAATGAAGCAGAAGGTTAAAAAGACTCAATTTCAGATTCCAAATGAATCCACATTATCAACAGGAACCTGCCTGAGCAAAGAGGAAGTGATCTCTTCCTCTCAAGAGCCCGAAGGCCTCAGATCCCCCAGCTTCCCTTAGATGATACTTAATCATCAGTGCAATTGCCCAGCTGCAGAGTAAACAGGGGAACAAACAGGAACAAACAGCGGAAGTATTACAGCACATTGTCTCAAATTGAGCATGATTTACCACCATCTGCTCCTGGTGCCACAAACAGGAGCACAGGTTACAAAGGAATTGGGTTTTTCCCTCGTTAGGAGCTCACTGCTGTTTTGCTCTCGCTCTTTCCTGCGGGTGTGCACCTGTCTGGCTGTTCCTGTCTCCAGCTCCAAACCAGCCAGTGTCACATGGCAGCTAATTCTCCTGGGCAGGCTTTCCCTACATTCCTTCTGCTTTTAGTATCTTTACCATTACACAATTAGTGGTTAAAAAAATCTCCAAAGCATTCTAAATCTCAATATAGTCTGTCCCAGGAAGAAGTCAGTATCAAGCCTGTTGGTATAGACAGACCAGGCATGAATCTGTCAGCCAAAATAATGAGATGTGACCACAAAAGTAGCATAAAGACAGGCTGCTCACAGCACTGTGACCTCTAAAAGAGCATCAGCAGAGGCAGAAGTCATCCAAACTCCTCCACAGAGCACCTACACCAAGTACAAATGTCATGAGGCTACAAGCTTGCTTCATTCTCAGCCAGCAGGTGGATGAAGAGAGGATAAAAAATCTAGTAGGGGAAAAGAAAATCAAGTGGGGAACAATAGTTATGATACAGAAGGTTATTAAACAAAATCACTATGATGGTGGGAAATTAGGAACAATAAAGGAAGACAAAGATGTAAAAAAAGGGCTGAGTGAGAGATAAGACATTTTTAAAGTCAGTCAAGCTGGGGAAAGGCCCTGGCAACCATTAGCTATAACCAAAAACTCTGACTCTTTCAGCACTAATTACCTAAATTCCTTCAGCTTTTCCAGAGGAAGACACTTAGGATGGAGAGGTGGAAGAGGCACATTTCCGTTCAAAGGTTAACATGGAATTGCCAAAATCCCTGGTGAGAGATCAATGTAGCAATAGTTCTTTCATGAAAATGCAGTTAAAATTGAATCAGAATGGATTCAGCGTTGAACAATTTTAATGAAGCAGTGTCAAACAAGCACATCAACTTCTCAGAAACCAAGGAGCTCTAAAGTTTAATTACAAAAACATTGTACAGAAAACTTGGCATTTAAACAATTCCAAACACGTTAATCCAGCAAATGGATTCTGCTTTCATATATTTCTCTCAACATTTCTGCAAGTGACAAAAGCATTTTATTCTGCTGTTCTCCTTGACACCCACTTCATTTTTTTTTAATCAGTCAACACTGAAAACTGTAAACTGAAGTGACACTCTGAAAACACTGGAAAGACAAAATCCATTTTTATAGGGTTAATAAACATAAATAAGAAGCTTCTTAATGAGACAAAACATCATCTGTCACATCATCAGTGAGCAAGAACTCAAGTCTTCTCCCAGCTGCTTCAAGATGGATAATCCACCCCGCCTTCTTCCTTGTGGGAAAAGGCAAGAGATTTGTCAGCCCCCAGCTAATAATATCACCTTAAATTTCCTATTCCACAACACTTGCATGCTTCTCAGCAGAGATGGATGAGCAGTATCCATGAGCAGATTTCTGTAAGCAGGCAGCCTGAAGCCATCAGACCCTACTGATGGATTGGATTTGTTGCTGGAACTGCATCCTACATTACATGGAATTTCTGGAGACTTTATGGGATACAACTCCAGGTATTAAGTAGGATGCCACAGACAGAACTTCAGGATTTTGTAAATCAGTTTTGGCTATGCAGAGCATTTTGGCCACTTCAACAGAGAGTCAAACATCACCAGTTCTAAAAAACCAAGATACATACATGAGATGAAGGTGTAGGTGCTTGTACTGGAGGCATTAACAACCTCTAGGATTTACAACATTAATTACAGAACCCACTAAAAAAGTTCATGGCAGCATCAGCTGGTTTCATCCATGCTAAGGAGAGTGGAAGTCAACGCAGCAAACTGAAGTTCCTTTTTGTAAAGTCTTGAAAGCAAAACAGGTAACAAGAGAAAGGAGTTTCCTCCCTGAAGGAAGACTTGATTTACATGGAAATCCTTGCTTCTTGGCTACAGCAATAACCCCAGGAGTAAGCTGAGACCTGGCATAAAGGTGCTGACCTGAAGATGGCTCCAGGCCAGCATGATGTCCATGTGTACAGCGCAGGAAAAGAAGAAACTGATTTTTAATCTTCAAAATATTTGTGTCACATTAAAGGTACATTAAAGTGATGCTGACAGCAACATGCTCCTCTAACGAAAGCAACCTCCACATCATAACAGGGAATCTTAACAGATGTCTTGAGCAGGAGCAAAAAGATTGTCAGGTGGGAGCAAGAGCATTTCAACCACCCCCATAAAGCCCAGAGATGTCCAACAAATGCTGAGCCAAAGTCAGAATCAACAATTTGACAGGAACCAAAGGGCAGGGAAAGTTTTGCATAAGCCAGTGCAGACAGTGGGTGCCTCAGCTCTGCCAGGAGGTGTGGTGTAGCTCACCAAGATCAGACTCAAACATGCAGAGCTCTATTCAATGCAAGCGAAAGGCCATTTAGGTCAGCTGGAACACCAAATGCTGAATGCCATGGGCTCCATGGGCAGTACTGGACTGTACAAAAGGCAAGAACAGAAAGAAGCTGTAATGCTGAGTTCTGTGGACTACGTGGACCTAGCTGCTAATAACCTTCTCTGCTCTAATAATTCATGCAAAAATATATGTGCTGCTTCCAGACACACTGATTCCCAGCACAGCAATTTCAGGAGGGCAGGGAGGGAAAAAATGCAATCCCCGTGCCCATTTCTCTTTTTATAGAAAACTGCTTTCCCCATGAGATCATTCTCTAAAAAACAAGGCAATAACATTAAATTAGACTGAACAATGTATCAGAGGAAGGGCAAGCTTTGTGGGTTTAGTCTAAACTGAAGAGTCCCATTTTCCCTGCTGAGAACTAATGTTTTTGGTTTTTTTTTATTTCCACTGATCTTTGTGATAGTGAAATGCTCCAGCAAATGTTTTCAAGAGATGACAGGAAAGCTTCACAGAAAAGCAGGATGCAATGTGCAAGAGAGGTGCTTGAAGAGAGGGGAGAGAAGAAGTCTGTCTCATAGTAGAATCAAGCCACAAAGCACCAACCACAGCCAGTCTCTAGCAGGGGCAAACTCACATTGTAGGAATTGCAGGCTAACACAAAAAAACCCCAGGATTCTGCTTAAGAAAAGCTCTATAAACACAGCAGGAAGCGTAGGACAAGACAGTGCAGCAAGGAAAACCCCCTGTTAGAGCAGAGAACGCAAGCACTGCTATCCAGTACTGCAAGAATCAGGGAACAAGATCAAAAGAACTGAAGTGAAGGAAGGTAACCCCACAGGATAAACATGAAAACAAAATAAAAGACACTAGAAGACATTAGGCAATATAACACAAAGTTATTACTACAACATATACGCTGACTCCATTTCACAAGCTGAGATTTCATCTCCACAGCCAGCCAGTCCACAGAACGCAGGCACCCTCACACCCAGCAAAATCCATAAAAAATGTAGATTGCACAAAAGTTGCATGCTCTTAAATGTTCACAGAGAGGACAGTTCCAAATGCTTAGTGGGTGGTGTCCGTGGCTTCTTAAGATCTCTTAATGCATTGATCTGTTTGTCTCCCTGACAAAACACACAGGCAGGGCCCAGGACAAACCTGCCATCCTGCCTCCCACCCCAGGCTTTTCCCCATGGCTTCTTATTCCACACTGGCCAAAAAAATTTTGTAAAGCTTCCCCGGGTCACGAGACCTGCAGACGAAACAGAAAAATAAGGGTTAGAAGGCTACAATGTGCCAGGACCAAACAGGCATGGTGACAGGGGTTTTTGGTGCTTGATCTGAAAACACAATGTTCAGGATAGTAAATCAGCCTCTAGAGACACAACCAGAATTGCTGTTCCCATCCAGGGCTAAATAACAAAACCCTTTCTCTTCTTCCCATATACTCTTTGCACAAAGAAGTTTTTACCATGCAGTACAGAAAATCCAAAATATTCACAAGTATAATCAAACAGTCCCTAAACACAATGTATGAAGCCACCAAAACCCACCTCAGATCTGTGAAAGAGTTGTTTTCAGGAGCATTATGGCACAGTTTCCTGTGGCATTGCTTTGTGATATGTCTCAGCCTCAAACAGACCACTCGGTTGAGACAGATTACATTCAGCATTAATATACACATTAACAAAGGGACACTGATGATCACAGTTTTTGATACAGTTTATCATATGCCAGATGAACCTTTTATCCAAAGCTTCCTTGTTTTCCAGGGAATCTCTACCATTTTCTAGGTTTGCATCCAACAAAACCCAACCTTCTTCCTTCCAAAATTTTGTCTCAAAATATAATCATTGCCAAGTGAAAGTCAGTATAATTAACAGTCCCACTAATTACTTGATGATTATATTCAGTTACATGCATGTCATTATCCAGTGAAACTATGTGATCATTAATAACATTTTTAATTGCCTCACACTGTTTTGCTGCTGAAAAGAAGGAAGGCATTGGTAGGAAAAGAAAAGAAAGGAAAGAAGTATTGTTTTTCAAATAGAGGTTGGAAGGAAGAATTTAAAGCAAGAATTACTTTTTCTAAATCAATTACAGCCAAATCTAGCCTATCCAAGAAAATTGTATCCGTATGTTCAGGAACACAGGAATTGTCCATCCTTAGGAAAGATTAAGCCACCTGGCAAGAGAATGAAAGTCTAGATCTTAGTAGCTTTGCGATATGCTTTTTCTAGCAAGGTGCTTAAAGGACAAATATCCATTTCTGGGCCTGGCATACCATTCTAGTAACTGATGGATGAGAAACTGCTCTCCCTCTTAGGTATTCTGTAAAACCTCCCCTCCCAATTCTCTCTCTGAGCCTGAGAACTAACTGAAAACAGTGTACAAAAAGGAGGAGGTTGATGAGCTGCTGAAAAATCCCAGACCTGGATCGACAAGCTGTTCCCTTCACAAATAGCAGCAGTAAAGGCACTTCTTTATTCTGCTGGGAGCTCAGTCATCTCTTAGAACTGCAGTCCGTTCCATCTGGCTACCCTCCTGAAGGACAATGATCTCCCAACTAAAGCCACACTATAATGGGAAATGTGTAATTAACTGTTCTACACAGCACCACAAAAGGTCAGCACCAGAAAGGATGAAAAGCCCTGTCTTCATATTTGCAGATGGCACAAGGCAGCTTTATTTGCATTTCTAAACACTATTCAAGACGTGTACAGTAGATCTCTACATAATAAATGCCTGAAGAATGAAGGTATGCACTTTGTTCAAACAGAAATAGGCAAACTCCTCATGGCTGCCTAGTGCTGTGCATCATGGGGAAGAGGGGGAGTGAGAAGTATGGGAAATGCAAAGCAGCACAGTAATGCAGAGAGACTGGTATTTACTTCTTTGTTAATTTGTTTTTCTACTCTGTTCTCTATTACAGTTTTCCAAGCTGTTAAACAGCAGCAAAAATACAGAATCATGAGCTCAATAATAATCTACGCACATGCCACATAAACATTAGTCTCAGCAAATGTTATGTACAGCTTAAACCATACCTCAGTGCTCCATTTGCATCTAAGCCTTCCTAATTACAACAGCTTGACTACAGGTGCCACTGAGCAGAGGTAGAGTATTTTCAGTTTATAACAGAATTGAGTTCACCTGTAACCTCTTGAGACAAACAGAATTTCCCCATGGCCATCAGTTTCTGCAATTACTGCTAAAATCTTCAGCTTTACTTCACTCAAGAAAGGAGCCTTCTTCTAAATTAGTCACCCTGTCACCATTCTGTCAGAACTCTTACTCACCTTATACAAATACATAAAGATCTTGGGGCTAAAGGGAATTTCAGAGCCCTTTAATGCCGTGGAATCCTTTCAACCCAATTTGACTTTCATTAAGACAACCTGCTCCTGCAGCTTTGAGAAAGAAACCTTTCTGATTGTACAATATGGTGATCAGCACAGGCATCAGCAGCAGAACAGGTGCCAAAGGCACGGAGCAGACCCACGAGCAGCCTGGGAGAGAACACTTACCCCATCACTAACGCTCCAGCCTGTTCACCACGTCCCGTACCGTGGCGATGAGGTTCTCGTTCTCCTGGGGGTTGGCCAGGATAATGCTGTGCAGTCTGTTCATGTAGGAATCAATGGTTTCCATCGTGGGGGTTTCCCCGCTGCCTACAGTGAGCACAGTGAAATGAGCCACAAGGTATTTTGATGACCACAGCAATTCAAAAAAGTTAACACTATGCTGAGGGTAATTTGTGCCAACACACAAACTGCTATAGGAGGTGATTTTGCTGTGCACCATTCTTGTGACAGATTCTACTAAACAACGTCCTCCTAACCCCACAAAGTGAGTAGTTCCAAGGATATCAGGACTAATGAAGCATGGTTCTCTTTTATTTGGGTCTCATAGCTCATTATAACAAACTCTTTCAGCTGGGCATTCATAGAATCTAAGTGGGTTCCCTGGCAGCTGACAATACAGACACAGCCTTTATTTTAATCAAGGAACTTGCACGTCCTGTCTATTCTATTCAGTAACATTTTCATAAAACAAGTGAAGGAGAGCCAGGACTGAATATGTGTCTCACTTTATTAGGAAGAGTAGGAGCAATAGGAAAATAAATGTCATGTTGAAATAAAGCACTGACTCTACACTTCCCCCTGCATGCATTTTAGCATTTCATTATCCCATGCAACAAAAGCCCAGAAACAGCCAGGAGCACAGAAGTAGAGCAGCAGACCACGTGTTCTCAGCCCACAGGAACAGGCTCACCTGGCAGCGGGACCCCGGCGAAGCTGCTGGTGAGCGCCTGGCGCAGGCTCTCCAGGTGCTGCTGCAGCACCGTGTTGCGGCTCCGCTCCTGGATCACGTCCACCTCCAGCTTCTCCACGGCCGTGCGCATGCTCTCCACGTGCTTCTGCAGGGCCGCGTTCCTCTCCTCAAACTCCATGTTGGATTTGCGCAGCTGCCGCAGCTCCGCCTCACGGGCTGCCAACATCAAGCCATTCCCAGAGAGTCAACAAACTGCTACAAACATCTCTAGGACCAGCAGGCAAGGAGACAAAGTTCTGGAGTGCTCAGCTGATAATTACAAACTGTGCTGTTGTGGTTTATAGATAAAGAGCATCATATCATGGAGCGACAACAGCACTTATAGTAGCACTTTACAGGGATCATTCCTAGAGAGAGACAACTCAGAAAACATTCAAAGCATCAGAATGGAAGTGAATGGGGGAATTGATCAGGGAGGAAGACTGCAAGATTCATTTCAAATACAATCAGAATGACAAAGTTTAGCAGCAGTGCTAAGAATCCTGCAAACAAGACACCAGTTACAAAAATAATCTTCTATTGACCATGGAAAGTATCTGAATCTAAATTCTGTTCAGTCAAGAAAGTCTTCAAGAAATCTGGCAAAAAATACTCAACCCTTGAGACACACAGATATGAAAACCAGAGTAACAGAAAATCAGTGTAATCTTCCAAATATGGGGGTAAATAAAATACTGCTAACCAGACTGAATCACCATGAGGATACATCTCAGATATTTCTTAGTCCTACAGAACAGCAGACACAGCTGCAAGTGGTTGGAATAAATATCAGAAACATTCTCAAAAAAAGGCTAATTTGGGAAGACAATGCCAGGAAAAACTGCTTTTCAGCTGTTGTATATATACAGAGGTAAGGTAATAGCAGAAACTATACCCAAGTCTTTACGTGAGCTGAGATGGGAGAGTGCAAGGACTCTCCAGCTGGACAGCATTTGCCAAGAATTTTGGAAAAGCAAGGAGGAAAGCATCCTGGAAAAGTTAAAATTACCTTTACTATGATTCAGGAACTCTTCTGTGAAGATTGGGATATCAAAGACAGATCTCTCCTTTGTATCTGCTTCTTTCTACAACAGAACAAGTAATAACGTAGCTGAACAGTTTGTTTTCAGGAATTCATTTAACTGTTTTGATCACGAGAATAAAAGGCCAAGGAGACCAAAACCTGAGGCAGCCAAAAGCTGTATGGATTAAAGATACTTCCAGCTCCTACCAAGAAAAGCCAAAGAAAGTGTCTTAGATTTTCAAGATATAGGTTTAATCAAGCCATTATTAAGAAAGAACATACAACATACTAAAATACGCTCTTTCATCCTAATGGCATTATACACGAGAATTATTCAGTTTTAAAAACTATCTGAATGCATTTATATTTTCCACCATCAACCAACTGACACATTCTGAAATAGTGTTTACAGGAATATCAACAAACAGAGACAGAGTGAGCAAAACGCACAACAGGTTTCACGGCTCTTGGCCTTTCAACACCAAAATGAAAAAACAAAAACCACTTTTAAGTCAGGAAATGCTCTACAACTCAGTCAAAGAACTGTATATAATGTGATTTGACTAAAGGCAAAAGCCCCCTACTATAAGGTACTTCAGTCACCACTTCTAAATCAACAGGAATTAATGCTTGTTTTAGCACCTGAACTGTTATGGACAAAGCCAATGCAAATTTGGTTTGAAAAACTGCAGCAACTACGATCAACCTGTAACATAACACAGAAATAAAGTTAAGCAGGAAAGAGTGTCTATGGAGAACAAAAGCTTTTCACAGCTCTCAACCGCCATGGCTGATAATGTGCCACAGACTCATAATCCAGAATTGCAGTGTTACACATGACTGGTGTCCTCCAGTAGACAACCCCAATGCTTGACAGCTGATAAGGGAATTCTGGCCCCTGAGTTCAGAGTACCACGGTGGTGTCTGCCACACAGAGGGGTCCGTGGGGTCACCTGAATGCCAGCTGACAGCCAAGCAAGACAGACGACACTAGATGGAACTACAGCTACTCTGTTTTAGCCTGAGGAGACAGACTGTCCATTGATTGCTTTTAAAGATAAGCTAGCTTTTATTGTCTGGCACAATTACAGTTGAGGAGCTCTGTATTTACTGAGTGAGAATTCAAACCTCACTTGGCCTGAATCAACTGGAGACACACGAGAAACAGGGAAGACTGGAGGGAAGGGCAACTCTTCCCAGCTCTCTGAGGCATAGTAGGATTTATTTAGGGTTTATGATCACACGTGCTTTTCACTGAAGTTTTTGTACGTACTGCTACAGGGCAAATGTCTCAAGAGTATATTTAGAAAGAAAAGTCATACACAGAAATGTGAATAATGTATTTGTTTTGTCTGAACACTGCCTAGATGGCTAAGAATTAATTTCACCCCAAAATCCAGGATCACAACATTAATGTGTACTAAGAAATGTTGGCAGTTATGAAGCTGGTTAGAACACTTAAAAAATATCTATCTTAAACATTCTAATTCGTGCTCACTTTTACTACCTGTGTGCAAAGAGCCACTGGCTTGGATCATCTCTGCCTCCTACAGAATAGATGGTGGAGGAGACAGTACTGCCAAGAAGATATTCTCTTTGCAGCCCTAGGATACAGGTTCTTCAGGTAAAAATCAAAAATATTAAGGCTTTAGATGTAACTGTCCAGCTTCCAACAGGCAAGAAATGCTACCAAGCAGAAGAGTGATTATTAAAACCATCAGCACTCTCCCACTACAAAATACATTACCTAGCACATAAAAGATCCTCTTGAGAACCCTGAAGTACTTAAGCCACTCTGAGGTTCACTGAAGATTAAAATCCTAAGGCTTTGATTACCTCCTATTGGAAAGGACCCACTCTGTTCAGTTCTCTGTTCTGTTCAGTTCCCTCAAACCAAAAGAGAATCAAAATTTTTTCTATCATTTACCTTAAATAAGACTGAGATGCTTCAAGAGTCAACAATTTAATCTGATTATTAAAACTGAGGCTGAACTCTGAAGATTCTGCAATGAATCAGGCTTGAAGTTCTTAGAGACTTGGTGAACTACGGTAATGAGACAGCTGAGATTCTGGGGGTTTAAGCTCACCTCTGCTGCCATGGTCAGGCTGCAGACAGTGGAATGAACAGATATAATAAATGCACTACTCCATTACATGTTTTCAGAGTAGGTACCACGAGGCAACCCCTGCTCTCCTCAACCTGTGTGCACAAATCTCTGAAAGCTTTCTACTAACAAGTGTAACTGAGTGCATGATGCCAGACCCACTTGGAATCAAGCAGCTTGAGGAAATAAACAATAGCAGAACAATGGAGAACAATTATCCAGGGGTTTAGTCACTGCTGATGACAATAGTTCCAGTGTATATTACTATCTATGATATTTATGAAACTAGAATTTGAAGGAAAAAAAATGTTCTATTTCATGCATATAGATGAGCTCAGGGGACAGTGTGTGCATGTTTTTCAAGGCAATATCTATTATAAGTTCTCTCTCATCCTTTAGTTATATTTTATTATAATCAGAATTTGAATTGCCCATCATGAAACTCTTTAGAGGTCAACTCTATGTACAATGTTGAAAATATCTTCAACATCCACTCACAGAAACTACATCGATAAACATTTAAGTGGAGGAAGGGAAAGAAAAAAGCTTTCTTTGACCTTATTCTCTTATATTCTCTCAAGATATCATTTCATCAGCTTGTACTTGCTAATCACAAACACAGCAACAGAAGTCAGTGTGGACAGGAGAAAGCAGCAAGATAACAAAGACCTTTAGCCTCACTTCCACTAACAGCTTGAGCAGACACTTCTAAAAGCAATCTAAGATTTTTCTGCTTATTCCCCACCTATACAGGATTATAATACTTGACTTCCCTGCACAAAAGATGCAAAAGCACATCAGGTGATAGGCATGTGGGATTTTATAAATATAAAGGAGAAAAACACCAAGTAGTCAAAGGCACAGTTTGTAGGATGTCTGACTGACAGGTTGATGTTCAGCTGTATCTGATGAAGCTACAGGGTGAGGAGAACTCATTTTTAACTGCATTTATGATGTGAAAGATCAGCAATCATAGCTTCAATTAGAAGGGCAAGAGGGAAGACTCCAAACTTGTAGTTTGCCACCTGTATAACTCAAATGTTATATAACACTCACAGTCAACCTAGAACTTGAAGCCTTCAGTTTTTGTACAATTAGAGAGAAACTTGGATTCAGTGACTGTAGAATCAGAAAACTTGGGGATCATGTACTTCTAAAGGATAATCTCACTGCAAGCACTTCCTCTAGGAGTTAATAAAAGGCATATAAGAAACATGCTACCAAAACATTTTCCTGAAAATGAAACGTACTTTCCTTCAAGACCAGTAGCTGCCTCTCAGCAGGGCTCAGCCTTGTCACTATTGTAATGAACACATTAGAAGCAAACTGGATTGCTTTCCCAAGGCAAAAAGCCTCACAAAGAAAAACAGATCTTTCAGAAAGCCTTATTGCTTACAAGTGAAGAGGCTGTGTATAATCAAGACTTTTTCATTGCTCTTTGTTTGCAATTTATTGGTAACCATTAGAGAAGCACTGTGGCCCTAGGTAATACAACTGGAGAAAGCTGCAGTGTTTCAAGGAGAGAGAAACCACAGTCAGCCAGGACACACAAGATTTGTGGTAAGATGCCTGTGCTGTAGCTGTTGAGATCTACTTCCAGATATCATCATTCTTTTCCAATATTTACATATGCAGAGGGCAAGGGAGGGCAGGAGGAGGCTTAAGCCAGAGATTTTCCAATTATTTGGTTGCTTTACCCCTTTTCTTCTCAAGGAAGCCACAATCATACGTGCTACTGCAAAAAATCAGTACCTGAAAACAGCCACCTAAAGGGGCTGACTTGGCAGGCTTATGGAGGTCTCACACTACTTTTAAGTTCTTAACACTGCATTACAAAACAGACCAATGCTCTAAGTGTATCCTATGCTCCATTCCATCTATCATTTGTACTTGCCCAAGACTCACTAAATTGAGTTTTGTCATATCAATGAGTCTAACCATACTCAGTCATTTCTAACTTTTCAAAACCTGCATTAGGAAGAGGAAGAATTCACACTCGAGTTCTGATAAACTGGGTTTTGACTTCACCTGAAAGTCTAACCACTGATGTAAATGTAGAATTAAGAGGTTTACCTCATGATCATGAGCTGGCTGTCTTGCTCCATCTGAAAAAGAAAACAAGCAAGAAGCCTCTCAAAATAAACAAAATTTAAGAAAACAAGAAGCAAAGAATTAAGGCAGTTACACAACCCCAATTACACAACAATTCTAGACAGACTTGTGCAGCTCTCCTACAAAGCCACAGAGAAGCTGTGTCTAACTTTGAAGCTCTTGGAGCATATCCTCCAACACAATCTAGACACAGTTAAATTCAGATAAATCTAATTCCCTTTACACACAGCTGAGGTAAATGCCATAGAAAGAACACATTCACTTTTTAACCAGCCTTTAAATCCAAGACTTTCAAGGAGTGTCAGGCTGCATGACTGCCTGGGCTACTTTTGTCCCATTGAATACCTTGTCTGTGTGATTTGCCTTTTTGTCTGTCCTGTGCTTTCCTGCTAAAGACTTTGTAGGCTTCAGTCTTCTGATACTGCTCCAGCTCCCGCATGTAACGCTCCTTATCTCTGTCTGCTTCATCCAGGTAGCGCTGAAACAAAAAAGTCCCAGGGGTTCAGGGAGTTTCCTCCCCTTTGGGAGGAAGGGAAGAAAAACAGCTTGGCAAATGAAGTGCTGATCCATTTCACCTACGCAAACAGGAGAGGAGTGAAGAAACAATGAGGTGCAAAGACATAAGATCTGTGGATAAAATTACTGTACTCTGGTGTCCCATTTTCTCTCTCTTTTTTCATAATAACTATTCTCTTCATATTTTTTGCTAGGCCTAGGAGTAACTTGCTACTAAGCTACTCTACTCAACTGAATGTTACCTACATGTTACAGACCAAGCACTTCAGAATTCCTGTTCTGTTGCCAGGAGGAAGTGCTGCCAAACAATAACATCTTATCAGATGATAGATCAGATGATGCTTCATGGTTCAGACCCAGAACAGTGGAGTTCCAAACACATAGTTGTTTTCAGGCCCCACAGACAAAAAGCACCACCATACACTTGGCACATCTGAGAGGTGAACAAAACATCATGGCTATTGCAAAGAGCAGTGTAAAGATAAAAGAGCCTGGTTTTAATTGATATAATCCATCTGCATTTTGGTTAATAGAAAACTTTTTAAAATTGATACAATCCATCTGCATTTTGGTTAACAGAAAAATTTTTAGTAGCCTGAAGGCATTTCACACATCTGCATGACAGAATGAGCTTAGCTGCTAAATTCTATAGGGAAACTGATGAACTGAAAAACATTTAACGAATGTCACAATGCTTACTAATTATATAATCCATCTGCATTTTGCTTAACAGAAACATTTTTTTAGTAGCCTGAAGGCATTTCACACATCTGCATGACAGAATGAGCTTAGCTGCTAAATTCTATAGGGAAACTGATGAACTGAAAAACATTTAACGAATGTCACAATGCTTACTAATGGGATCCTTTCAGGAAAAAAAGTTGCCTTCCAATTTTTTCTCCAAATGAATTTAAAATTCAGTGAATGTAAGAATTCAATCAGTGAACCTTAGTCACCTGGTATTCTCTTTAAGTCATCATGATAGTACATATAAGGTATGATTTCCATACCTGTGCAACACAGTTTTGACTCTGCTGATGAGTAGTAACATTAGGGATTGAGGTACAAATTTTGTGATGCTTTTGGGTTGGCATTGCTTTTGGACATTAGTCTGTAAGGTATTAATTCTTTTTTTCCACCTCCAGCAATGTGCTGCTGAAAGAGCTCAGCAGTCTTTACTTGACCTGCTCTGAGTTAGAAACTTACAGCTTTACTCAAGGACAGATTCCCAGAGGATTTAAAAAGCAGCATACAGAATAGAGATTTGAACTCAATTTCCTTTTTCAGGTTAAAACTCTGCCTGAGACATGATAAGAATATGTTAAAGTGCAGGGGACAGAGGGGCAGATGTCTTTTTCCCTTCTCCCCCAGCAGACATTTTCATCCCTGCAAGACATCCTCTCCATGGATGTAAATTTCCAACCTTACATAGCAGCAATCCTGACTTTTCTCTAAGCAACAGCATTCTCACTATCCCTGCTACCAAATCTACTTCTTTGTCTTGCCACATATTCTCCATTATGGTTCAATCACAGTGCCTATGCACCATTTTATATCATCCCTGTAAGTGGTATTCTACAAGCTTAGCAAAAAGCAACAAAAGGAGATCTTGGGTTTTTGTGTCATCTCATTTTTTGTTACACCCTTAAGGTATTTTCCAAAGTTCAAATATGAAGATCAAATTTGTATGAGAGCATTCAGTAGCACTGTGATTTAAAACTGCTTTGCAGTAATGTCCAACTGGCAATCAGCAGTGGACAGTAAGACATCCATTAGCAATTAACCCATTAACAAGGTTCACTCCAGAAGGCCCTAAAAAACAGCCCAAACGTGGCCTTGAGCTTAATTCACTTGTCAGGTGGTGCAGAAGGCCACAGGACCCCCAGATAGGCGACAACACATCCCAAGATTTTGGCATTACAAGTCTCAGATGTATCTGAGTTGGTACAGCAGAGTTACATCCAGATGGATCACACAACTGTGGGATGTCTCAGTAGAGCACTGTCCCCATTCTGGATGTATTCTTGCCTTACCTAGAGGATACAGCTCCCAAGTCACCCCTGAAGGAGACACCATGGCCCTGCCAGGGCTCATCATGTGAACCTGTGCACTCATTTTGAAATATCCTCCTAAACACGATTTCAACCAACAGTCCGTGTCAGCCTCCTCACTAAACAACATTCCCGTGCAGCAGCAAGGACAAGGAAGTGCAGTGGTACCCGCTTCTCCTCAGGGGGCAGCTTGCTCCACTCATTGCCCAGCATCCTGGTGATCTCTGGGAAAGGCACCTCCGGCCGCTTCGCCCGCAGCTGCTCCCTGCGCTCGTTCATGAACCGCACGTACCCGGTCAGGGGGGATTTGGGGGCATTGCTGTCCCGCAGGGGCTTCTTCCTCTTCCTCCCTTTGGCCCAGCCTCCTCGTTTGGTTCTCTGCTGCTGCAAGATGAAAACAGAAGGTAATTCAGGCTGAGTGAAAATAACCACACCTGTGGAAGGAATAAACAGCTTCAGCAGGAGTACATGGCTGCAATCCTCTCCATGGATGCAGGTCTCAAACCCTACTTCAGAGCTATCCCAACTTTTGTCCAAACAAAGCCAAATGAGTCTCACTGTGAAAAGTAGCTTACAGTTTCTCCTAAGCCACAGGGACAACAAAGTAACATTGGCATCAATTTCTGATTGTAAAATCACAGGGACTGATAATCTACAGCATGATCATCTCAACTAATGCAACTGCAAATATTCTTTTATTACTTGTTTGCTTGGTTTTAGTTATTCTCACCCTCACACACCCTCCCCTGCAAGTCATTTACTTCAATAGGTTTTTTGGAGAGATTTTGTGTACTAGTTAATAATTGACAACTAGTTATTTTGCACCTTCTAGATCTTTGTCCTTCATGCACAATGTGCCCAAAATGTGGCTGGAAAGACAGTATACAGGCTTTTCTACTCTCATCTTTCCCAGCAACCACCTCCAATGGAGCAACAAACAAACTCCAAAGGAGGGAACATTGTAAAATGTGTCTGGGGCATGCTTGTGATTCACAGGAATAACATCATTACCACTCATCCTCTTGTCTTCAAACCATTTCTACAGCAAGCTCTGGACAACACTATTTTCTAATGCTGTGTACATACAATTATTTTCTGTACTTCTAATCTTTCCCCAGTTCAACATGTTCCTGCCATCATATTACTTTTTGTTTTCCTCCTGGAATTTTATTAATTAAAAAAGGACCTCACAGCTGAAAACAAACTACAAGGAAGAATATCAAATACATCTATCAAAAAAAAAAACCCACCAAACCAGAAAACCCCAAAACCACTTCCTAGTTCAACTTCAGGTCCTTCATGATTTAATCACCAAAAACCAGTGTTGGATGGTACACAAGGTATAGTCTAAAGCAGTAAAAACACACTGATTTTAAAGACCTCAGTTACTACCAGAACATTACAGTGGTCTCACTTTTCTGGCTCACAAGAGAGAAGATAAGTTGTGGCAGTTGAACATTCAGTCCTGAATGCAGCACCAGCTTGTGGGCCCTTCTGGCAAAGCTGAGACCCATGTGCTGCTCTCTGCACATTCCAACTGCCAGCTCTCTGTGTGCAGCTGTGCAACACAGGAGAAAATGAGGGAATCAGAAGATGAACACGGCAAATGGATAAAAATTTGTGATCCTCTTAAAAATTAAATCTGAGCAAGTAAGACAATATAATGACAAAACTCCATGGCTTTGCTTCATTGAAAAGTTACTATTATTTCATCTCACCTCCTCCTCAGGCTTCTGCTCAGTGGTTTCAGCAGCATTTGAAGACTCATTTTGCTGCGGCTGAGCCTGTGACAAGTCCTCCACCAAATCTGGGTTATTCACAGGCTGTGAAGTTCCACCACTGAATGAACCCTCCGAATTGGCTAATCTGAAAATGCACAGAAGTGGAGAACAAAAAATTTAATCATCATTCCTAAATCACTTCCTCCCTAATCTTCTAAAACATGCAAAAATGTTGCAAATATATTCATTCTCACACTAGCAAGAAAAATGGGATGTAGAAGTGATTTCTGAAGAACTGGCTGTTCCATCCAAGCAACCACTGTAACTACCACAGCTCCCATGGACTTTCAGACCCAGTTTGATTTTTAAAGTAGTATTTTGTTTCATTTTTAGTGACTTGATCACACAAACAATTTGCAGGCAAGTGAACATTTGCATCAGAAACCAGATAGCATGAATCTATCCTTCTTCAAAAGTACCATAAGGAATTTGAAATTAAAAGTTTCATCGTCAACCAAGATACACCTTTCTGGATGTGTTTAATCTATTTCTCCACAAATACATGTAGAGATCTGTGATTGGGTATGATCTTGGATTGAACTTCATTCCACACACTCTCCTGTTTATACACATGGGTATCTAAACACAATCATGACCAGGTCCCAACAGGCTCCAGAATGGCCATAATTTAATTTTGCTGCAAGAGCTGTATCAATCTACCTTACTCCAAAAAAGGGCAAGATGTCTGCAGGCAAAAATGAAGAGCAAACGTACAAAAGTACTTCTGAAGGTAGACTGACAGTGCTGAACACACATTTTGGGACAAGAACCCCCTGGACATTCTCAGCCCTGTGCTCAGTATGCAAATTAATGTAAGATTTTTCAACTCATCTCAGATTCTAAACCTTTCTTGATACTAAAGAATACTTGGCCTTACCCAGTTACATTCATGAAAATTCCTTTAACAGCAGGGTATGCTTCAAGTCTCCTTTGCTCATTTATTCCAGTCTAAAGCTACTCATGTCTATGGCAAATTTTAAATATTCAAAATAACTGCTCCTATCAATGTAGAATACAGCTATAAAAATTTGATGTGCATTAACAGAATTGTTATTTGCATGCCCATGGGAATATCTGTCTTCAGAAAGAACAGCATATTTTCACCACTCACTACAATCAGCAATTATGACATAATTACTGGTAAAGAAAAAAGGGCTGCAGAGATCCATGGCTGACTTTGAGACAGCAGATTGAGCTCACATTACTGACAATTAGAGAGGGACCAAGGGAACAGAGCAGACACCCTCCCATAAGTTAATTATATTTGGTATGTGTCAAAAAGAATAGGAACAACACAGCTCTGGATTCAGTGTTAGGGTTTGAAGAGTATTTCAAATTTCCTCTCCATTCCCCCTTAGCAGAGAAGCTCTTTAAACTGCACCTACAGGAGAATCTTCATGTGATGCAGCCATTTGCAGCAAACACTGATGTAAGCTCAGCCAAAACATTAATACCTCTTAAACACAAGCCTAATTTGAACATGCTCCTAATTTGGCACCAGCAAGTTTGAAGTCCCAGATAAGTAAATCCAAATTCAGACCCATTTAGAGTGAAAGTGTTCACATTCATTTTTATAGGGCTTTATCTGACTGCAAAGTCTGAATTTTACTGTTTGGTGCTTTGCAAAACAGAAAAGAAGCTTCAATTATCAAAACACAGCAAAAATTCCATGTATTGTTAAAAGAAAACTTCTCTTGGCAATGTGATTTTAAAAGGCCATTGCTGCAGTTTCTGAAAGCGAGTCAGACTGACAAAATGAGACATCAGTGTCAGTGATCAGTTTCAGAGATCATTGACGAATATTAATGATATCTTTAATAACTGAAATAATTATTAATATTGAAATATTGAAATAATTCACTTAGCAGAGGTCACTACGGCCAACAGATACTTCCTTCCTCTCTGTCTCCATAATGTCATTTTCTTAAGACTGAAATCCTACAGATTTACTTTTTAAAGCTAAGAGATACTAAAGAACAGTTTGTGACTACTTCCATCAGTTCAGATGAGTTCTGGTTTCTCCCAGAGTCCTGCGATCTTCTATCAAGGCCAAGAGAATGTTGCAAAATTGAATTCCATCAGGTTTATTTCTCTTATTTTTAAAAATTACTCAGAATGCCCTCCTCCCACTGAAACAATTTCCCTGACAAGTGCAGAGATAGTCTCTACCAGCTGAAGGTAAAAAAGGAGTAACTTACCCAGTTACATTAATTTCAGCACCTTCCTTAGATCCATCCTCATCTGTAAAAAGTGGAGGAAGATTTGAGCCAGCTACCAAGTTCTCCATACCTCTGGGGGAAAAAAAACAAAGGTAAAAAAGGTTAAGTTAACTACGTCATTGTTTCCCTTCAGCAGTCCATCAATTCAAACATCATAACACATCAGGAATTTTTTACCCCATGAACCACTTGGCCAGTCCCAGCTGGCTGGCTTCAGGACAGATCCTGTGGGCAGATGTGCTTAGGGACAAAGAACAAAGACCATAAATGACACTTCAGTTCCGAGGTTCCATTCCACTGGCACACTTTAACTGAGCCCTGTGCCAGTGTGTTGCTGGAAATCCCTGCAGTTCTATTTTACCCCTCAAAACAAACCCTCACTCACCATACTCAGCACACAGGTAGGTAGATCCTGCTCTTCCAGTCCACCTGCCTGATTATTCCTCACAGTGCACCCTTCACCACAGGTTTGTGTTGACCCCAGAAGAAAACTGAAACCGCGTCCCCCCATTAGTTTCAAATAAAGATGTTCTAATAATTTCTTGTCCAGATTTTCACAATTAATCTGTGTTTGCAGTTAAGAACACAGCTATTTTCCAAGTCCCAATCATTAGTTTCAAATAAAGACTGTTCTAATAATTTCTTGTCCAGATTTTCACAATTAATCTGTGTTTGCAGTTAAGAACACAGCTATTTACAGTATTTTACCTTCAATCCCATTTGCTGAAGCAAATGGTTTAAGGACTGTGTATTTCTCATTGCATACAAACTAATACAAACTACCCCCAAATTAGAAGTAGTTCCACTTGTAACCTTGTGGCCTGTCACAGGAATTTACTGTGAGAGATGAAATCCAAAGCTTAACTAATTTATCCCCTTCCTTACTAAAATACAAAACTGTTATATTTTAGTGAAACCCACCGCCCCCACCCCCCCAAAAAAAAGCCTTAATAAACTCACTCTACAATTATGAGTTGCCAGTTCAGGCCATTTTGAAGGGCCATACAACTTAAATTCCTGTTCCTTCAGTTTCAGAGTCACCTCTGATGAGCAGCAGATACTGCACTCAATTACTGCTGTCCCTTTCATCCAGAACACTTGGGCTTTGGGCCTGCAGGGACTGAGGAGGGCTATCACCCTGAACTGCTTTCTCCTGGGTTGGTGTTTCCACCCAGCACTGACATCCAAGTGATCTGAGAACAAAATGCTGCTCCATGTTTTGAATATTAGATGTGTTTTCCCACATCCCACCCCAGTTCTAAAGGTAGATGTTTTCTACAGACAGAGGTCACTGCTTCTTGCATCTCACAGATTTTGCAGATCTCCATCACAAGTACAACATGGATGACATTCACCCTTTTCTCTTCTGCTTTTGCAACTGTTGAGATCCTTAGACCACCCTTAAGCATCCCATCATCCTGACTCCTCATCTGGAAAATAATTAAAGCTAAGCAGACTACTCCTAGGTGGCACAGACACTGATCTCTAGCAGAGGAACACCTTTACTCATGTACAGGAAAGGTTCATTCAGAAGTGAAGAAACCGAATTCCTGCCCTGCCACTCCAAGCCAGGGACTGGGTGCAGTTTTGGGGACTCAGCCCTAGAGCTGTGGCACAGCTGGAGACTGAGCAGCAAAGGGCTCCCAAGATGCTGAGGGATCTGAAGCAGCTGGCCTGTAAGGGATGGTGAGGAAAATGGGCTTGCTCAGGCTGGCACAGGGGCCAAGGGCCAATCTAATGGAGCCCAAAGGTACTGGGTGGAAGTGGCAGAGAGGACAGAACCAAATTCTCCCCAGCTATACTGGCTTTGCAGGTTCAGGCTGGACACCAGGACGTGTTCTCAGAGAGGTGGAGTCTATCCTGGCAGATTTTAAATGCTAAAAGCTGTAACTGACCCAAACTAGTGTTGGCAATAGTCTTGCTCTGAGTGGGAGGCTGGACTAAGATGACCTCCCTCCAGATGTCCCTTCCAAGCAACATCTGCAGTTCTATGAATCACAGCTCCACATTATGGGTTTTTTCAAATACCAGCATCTCTGACAGGAAAAGAAAGACAACTCAAATAATATAATGCTGCAAGGAAAACTAGAGAGATACTCTGGTAAAACAAATAGGATTTTAATCCTTAAAGAAGGCAGTGCAAACAATACTTCCTCACACATGGATAAGAATCTATACTCATAGAAAAGAAACTATAGAAAGGCTGGGACTTTATGTATCACAAGAAATCTGAAAACTCAACTGATTTGAACATTATGCTCTTCACTGCCCAGGAAGATGTTTAAGCACAGCTTCTAAACATACAACATAAATCACTTCATGCAGTTATCATCTAAGAGGGAAATTAAGTTCTGCTTCATGGTGCACAATATTCATCAGTCCAAAATTCTAAATTATGATTTTTAAAAAAGGAAGCCTGAGCAATTATGCCCATTGTGACCTTCTCACCAGGTCCTGATCTGTCTGCTCACATCTGGCCCAAGCTCACTTTCAAACTGCAGGGAGGCAGCTGGACACCAACCTTAACAACATATAAACAGAACACAAACACAGGAAGCCAGGAGAACATACACTTTTTTTTATTTAACCCATATGCTTTAGATAGTAACTCTTTCAGATGATGCTGACCCACATCCTAAAGAAAAAGTAACATCAGTGAATTTACAACAGTTTCTAATCAGCTCCAGAGAGCAAGAAAACAAAACAGCTCCCCTAAAACTTCCTGAGAGCAGATGGGAACCTACACAAGCCTTTCAGTCCCATTTCTCAGGGATAGCCCCACCATGCCTCTGCTCCAAAATCATTATCCACTTAGTTTCAAGCCCGCTGCAGAGCCCCATGTTTATTGAAACACTTTAACTAAATTCAAGGCAACAGAAACAATGTACAATTAGTTTTCCAGTGGCTCACACAAATACCCTCTTTTCATTTTTTAACTATATCTACCCAAATGCAAAAAGAAAACTGAAATTGCAATTAAACCCCAAACCCTACCAGGCCTACAGTTCAATGCAGGGAAGCATCTCCTCAAATAAAACTAATTCAAAATGGAGCAACTCTGGGTTCACTGTACTGCTACACTGCTGGCTGTGTTGGCTCAAGAAAGCAACCAGCTACACATGAATGGAGAGACTGATTTATTCATTTACAGCAGTATTTGACAGGATTTCAAAGGTTCAACTAACCCATACACTAACATTAGCTAAACCTCTATATGAGCATAGAGAAAATCCTACATTATCAAGAATGTGGTTTAATTTATCTTTTCCTTTCCCTCTCTTCCCTGATCAATCATGACTTCATGACAGAGAAAATAGACAACAGTACTTTGTAACTTTTAGTTTATATTTGTCAGTTAGACACTTTGGTTGCATGCCACAGAGATCATACTTAAACAAAATTGTACAGAATGTACCAACATGGTCTGACAGAATTACTCAGGAAATGACAGCAAAACTTTTACAGCATAAAGATCTAAGTGCTACTACACACATCAAGGATCAAACAGTGGGTAATTAAACACCATTCAAAACCAGAATATGGTTTAAATAACCTTTCTTAATTTCTTCTCACATTACCTTTTGTAGGCCATGATATGTAATTATTATCCTAGTACTAAAGTAGCCAAGTTACATTTTGCATAGACTGAAAGCTACCATATGATCAAATTTCTGATCACATTTGTACTGCAGAGAGGAAAACTCAGAAGCAGGTAGCTTTAAAATCAGGGTGAGAACAAATCCATGGCTGGAGCCAGACAGAATGATTCACTTTTCCACAACATTACTGTGGCTGCGCTGTTCACAGCACTCCTGTAGGGCAGCACATGTAAGGACCTGACAAAGTTCAAGGTCCTTTTATACATGCTGGAAATGAAGGGTAAAATTTACCACAGACAACCTTTTCATCAAAGCATCAGGAACAGCAAAAACGCCATTTAAAATGTGCCACCAGTTCTATCCAGCAGAGCCCTGAGCAGAGCCCAGCCGCACTGCTGTGTGCCAGGAGGCAGCTGGGGCAGCCCTGCCTGCCCCGGGCACGCCGGGCTCACCCTGCCGCAGCCACCTGCAGAGCCCGGGCACGGGGACACCGCACACACAAAGCGGGCACTGCTCCCCCGGGCACAGCGACACCGCACACACAAAGCGGGCACTGCTCCCCCGGGCACAGCGACACCGCACACCCAAAGCGGGCACTGCTGCCCCGGGCACGGGGACACCGCACACACAAAGCGGGCACTGCTGCCCTGGGCACGGGGACACCGCACACCCAAAGCGGGCACTGCTGCCCAGGCACAGCGACACCGCACACACAAAGCGGGCACTACTGCCCCGGGCACAGCGACACCGCACACCCAAAGCGGGCACTGCTGCCCTGGGCACGGGGACACCGCACACCCAAAGCGGGCACTGCTGCCCGGGCACAGGGACACCGCACACCCAAAGCGGGCACTGCTGCCCTGGGCACGGGGACACCGCACACACAAAGCGGGCACTGCTGCCCGGGCACAGGGACACCGCACACCCAAAGCGGGCACTGCTGCCCTGGGCACGGGGACACCGCACACACAAAGCGGGCACTGCTGCCCCGGGCACGGGGACACCGCACACCCAAAGTGGGCACTGCTGCCCTGGGCACAGCGACACCGCACACCCAAAGCGGGCCCTGCTCCCACACAAGCCCCCCGCCTGTGCAGTCACACCGGGAGGGACAGGGCCCTGGTCACCAGTAAGTCACTGGCACATGCACACTGACTTCCTTCTCATCCCAAGGCCAGGCCTAAGATGCCCCTGAACACTGGGAAAAGGGAGAACAGCCCTTAACAATGTTGCCTTTTCAATGGCTACATTACAAGAGATAATCTTATGAACAATAAAAAAATAAATTACTGAACTCTTTAGCCATCCAATTACAAGGTAAGAGTATTTATTATGGTTAAGCATATTTAAATATGAAATCAGCATCAGAAATCCAACTTACAGGCTGATTATAAAACACTGCAGGAGTTCCAATTACCTCATCACCAGCTCTAGTTTTAGAAACGTTACTGCTGAGTGGAGAATTTTTCTCCT